GGCGGGCCTGTCTGGTGACATGGTGGATTGGGAATGTGGTGAGGTCTCTCTATGGTTTTTCTGCTTTTCTGTGTTCACACTTGAAGGGATGAAAGCAAACAGGTTAACAATAATTATCATCAACTCGCCACATCTCACCAGGTCCGTGGAAGCAGCACCAATTATAGCCTGTTCACTGGTTGGCCTTCATAGCACGTCCCTGTCCTGGTTATAGCCTCTCATATATTCTCAAGGTGAGATCGCCTTGTGCCCCGCTATCAAGGCAGTGAGCCTCAGACTCCTTTTGTCCCATTTGTCCCCTGCAGATGTCATGGCACCCCCAGTACCGGAGCTCCAAGTTCCGCCACGTCTTTGGCAAGCCAGCCAGCAAGGAGAACTGCTACGACTCAGTGCCTATCACCCACAGCGTCCACGACAATCACTTCTGTGCCGTGAACCCCCACTTCATTGCGGTCGTGACCGAGTGTGCTGGTGGGGGGGCCTTCCTCGTCATCCCCCTGCACCAGGTAAGGATGCCTGGTGAGCCCCAGGCCGAAACAGCTCTTTGGAGGCAGCTCAGGACAGAGGGCAGGTAGAATGAGCCTGGCTTTCTGCTACAATGCATGGGTTTAAGTCCTAGACCTGCTTATTACCAGCCATGTGACCTTGAATAAGTCATTTCATTTCTGTGAGCCTTGGTTTCCTCACTAGAAAAAATATACCTCTCCTGGGATTTCAACAGTTGCCTAATGATTCCTGGGGCTTCCCCTCCAGCCTGCTGCAAAATAATTCACTCCTGAATAGAATATAACTTTTAATGCATTGCCAGGTTCACAAGACATCCAGGAAATCTCCAACGCCACTTACCCTCCCCACAAAAGGAAACAAACCTTAAGCTAAAATCTAAGATAGGAGAGAAAAGCAGTAAGTGAACAGAAAGAACTGGCTTGTCTTAAGGGCAGATGTTGACAGTAGAGGTCAGATCATATGCATTTGCTGATATTTCACAGTTTTTGACCCTCCAAATGATAGTTTCATATAGGTTAATCTAATAGATCTTTTCAGGAGCCTGAGTCTCTGCCTTAAGGGAGACCCTCCAAAGGGTCTAGACTGATATTGGGTTGGTAGTGCCTCAGGTTCTCAGCAAAAGCAGAGACAAAGTCTCTAGAGGAAAACATTTCCAGTGTGGACAGGAGTCCCACAGATTAAGATCAGAAATTAATAATCTCAGATCACCCAGCATGTAAGCCGCCATAAGTCAAAAACAACAGACTTAAACCCCAGAGGACTTCAGAAGTTAAAAATAACAGCTGCAAATTGGAATCTCATTAACCAGGTTTTCTGATCCCAATGCCATTAATTTAGAAATCAATAACAAAAAGATAAATTCTAAATTCCCATTCATTTGGAAATTTAAAGACACATTTCTAAACAATTTCCAGGTCAAAGAAGAGATAAAAATGAATATTTAAAACTACTTGGAACTGAGTGATAAAAAATATATCACAAAACTTAAGGGATGCAGGGAAAGTGGTTCTTCAGGGGAAATGTATTGTTATATTTTATGCTTATATTAGAAAATTAGTGACTAAATCTTCAACCTGAGAAGTTAGAAAAAGAACAACAGAGTAAACCCAAAGAAAGTTTGAGAAAGGAAATAGTAAAGAGCAGAAATCAGTGAAAGAGAATACAGCATACAGTAGAGAGGGTCAAAGGAGCCAAAAGTTGCTTCCTAAAAAGACTGATGGACAAACCTTTGGACAAATGGTCAAGAATAAAAGAGAGAAGGTGCAATAACATCAGGAACAAAAGGCAGCACAGCCCGGCCGGGCGTGGCTCAGCAGTTAAGCGTCGACCTAGGATCCAGGCGATCAGGGTTCAATTCCCGGTCAGGGCACATGCCCGGGTTGCAGGCTGCAGCCGATTGATGACTCTCTCATCATTGATGTTTCTGTCTCTCTCTCTCCCTTTCCTTTCCTCTCTCTGAAATCAATAAAGATATATTAAAAAAAAAAAAAAAGGCAGTACAACAGCAGAGCAAGACACTAACATGAGCAATTTTATGACAATATATTTGAAAATGTTAACAATATGGACACATTCCTATAAAAAGTATATAACTTGTCAGTACTAATTCAAATAGAAATAGAAAGCCTGAATAGTCCTGAAACTATTTTTTAAGTTGTGTGATTAAAAGGATACGTTGACCAAGTAGGATTATTCCAGAAATGAAGGATGGTCTAATATTAATGAACCTATGAATGTAGATCATTATATTAACAAATGAAAGGAGAAAAACCATATGGTCGTCATAAATGCAGAAAAAATATTTGATAAAGTGCAATACTTATTCATGATAAAAATTCTTTGCAAGCCCTGGCTGGTGTTGCTCAGTGGTTAGAGTGTCAGCCTGTACACTGAATGGTTGCAGGCTTGATTCCCAGTCAAGGGCACGTACCTGGGTTGCAGGTTTGATCCCCTGCCCTGGCAGGGCGCATGTGGGAAGCAACCAATTGAGGTGACTCTCTCACATAGATCTCTCTCTCTCTCTCTTTCTCTCTCTCTCTTTCTCCCTTCCCTCCCTTCCAGTCTCTAAAAATCAATGAAAAAATTTCCTTGGGTGAGGATTAACCAAAAAAAATACTCTTTGCAAACTAGGAAAAGGGAATTTTACTAATATATAGGAAACTATTTTTAAAACCATTTATTTTGAAAGAATCCTAACCTATAGAAAAGTTGCCAAAATAGTTGAATAAACAGATTATCCTTCATCTAGATTGACCAATTGCTAACATTCTGCCAGATTTATTTTTTATGTCCTTTATATTTTTCTCTCTGTATGTGTTTGTATAGAAATTTTGTTTCTGGTTCAGATTCCAACTCAGGATCATGCATTGTATTTAATTGTCATATTTCCTAGTCTGCTTTATTTCACAATATTGACATTTTTAAGCAGTAAAGGCCAACTGTTTTGTAGAAAATTCCTAAATTGTCCAATTGTTTTCTCATGATTACATTCATGTTATGCATTTTTGGCAAGAATATTAAACAAGTGATATTGTATCCTCAGTTCATCACAGCACATGACACACGTTGTCAGTTTGTCCCATTATTGGTGATATTTCATATCTTTGTTAATATGGTACAAGCATCATTCGTATAGAAAAAATGTTAAAAACATCCCTTTATATTATCAGTAAAATAAAAAGCTCAGGACTGCACAGTAAGACCAGAAAAATAAGTTAAAGATATAAGGATTGAAAAAGAAGTAAAACCACTATTATTTACAGATACGATTGACTACATAGAAACACAGAAGAACACACGGTCAAATTATTAGAAAAATAATATGAGTATTTGGAAGGTGGTTGGGTAAAAAAATAATAAAAAAATGAATTGTATATTTACATACCAAGAATGCTTAGAAAATGTAAACATATGCAATAGAAAAAGGAGAGTGAGTTCCTGGGCATAAACAAAGCAAAACTTAGAAGGGGAAGATTACAGAGCATTTCTGACAGACCAATATTAATGACCCAAGCAAATGGAAATATGTACCATGTTCATGAATAGCCACTTTTTCTCTCTCCCCCAAATTTCCACACCATTCTCCTTTTAAGGATATATACCATAGCCTGTTTGTGTTTTTTCCTTACGACATCATGCCCTGAGTACTTTGAATTAGAGTCATTTGTGTTCTGCTAGTACTTCCTATACTTGGAATAGGAGGGGATAAAGAACCAGTACTTTGTTTATCCATATATCACATTGTGGGCACACAGTTGGTGCTCATAAATTTTTATAGATTGAACACATTACCCAATCATTGTTCATTCAAATAAATAGGGAGGGCATAATTGGCAAAGGGAATGGCACGAGCAAAGGCACGGAGGTGAGACTGTGTGTGGACTGTTCAGGGAACAATGCAGAGAACTGTCTGGCCAGAACAAATGAACAGTCCATTTAGGGGAGGAAATACCTTGGGGAAGTGAATTGGGGCCAGGGTGAGATGTGTGAACTATATGCCAGAGAAATGAAATTTTTCAAGCTGGGAAGCAACAAGTGTACAATGGGATTTATGGAAAGACTTGAAGGTCAGAGCTAGAAGGACCCCTAGAGATGGCCTGTTTGGTTACTTATTTCTTCCAAGTTCTGGATGCTTTTAAAAGATTCTGTCCAACAAACAAACTGCATTCTTAATTAATTACATATTAATGCATTTTCCTGATTTTTATTACTCAGAGTTTTCCAGAACTGTCGTGGCTTCTAACTTGTATGAATTGTTCAGTATGCATAGATACTAACAACAGATATTAAGAAAATAAAATGGTTTGATGTGATGGAATGTGATCTGGGTGGGGAGAAGGCACCTAGGTTAGACAGGAAGATCAGAGAAGGCCTTTCTGGAAAGTTGACATTTGGATAGAGAGCCACTAGAAGCTCTAGAAGCAGAGTGTTCAGGTAGACTGAATAGCAAGTACAAAGGCCCTGAGGTAGGAATGGGTTTGGAGTTTGAGAAACAAATTGGTGCATTGTCACATGGGCAGGAGCAGTGGGAGGTGGTCAGAGAAGGGAGCAGGGCTGAGGCTGTGAAGGCTCTGTCAGCCAGGGCAGGAGTCCAGCTCTATGCTGTATCCAGTGGGAAAGCCACTCTGGAGAGTTGAAATCTGTTGTCCTGTGCAGCGTGATCTTGGGTAAAATGTGCAATTAATTCCCTTTTGGCTTTTTGAAATAGTGTCATAAATAGCTTGAGGACACATGTTAATTGCTGCTGTCACAGACTCCTAGGAGTCCAGGCACAACAGGAGCTGGAAGCTACTAGTCAGAGCTCATATCTGAGTGTCACAACGCAGATTCTGATTCAGTGGATCCAAGGTGGGGCCAGAGAGTCTGCATTCCAACAAGCTCCAGAGCAGCCAGATGAAATCCAGAATGCCAGTTAAATCCGAACCTCAGATGAGCGCCAAATAACTTTTTCTTGCTTATTTTTTCTTTTTAATTAAACTTTTTGTTTTGAGATTGTTGTAGATTCACATGCATTTGTAAGAAATAACAGATTCTGTGTACCCTTCACCCAGTTTCCCCCAAAAGTAACATCTTGTGAGACTAGAGTCCAGTATCACAACCAGGATATTGACATCAGTACAGTCAAGATACAGAATGTTGCCGGCATCACCAGGATCTCCCGTGTTGCCTTTCTATAGCCACAGCCACTCCCTCACTCACTCTCACTCTCACTCTCATTTTAAGCCTTGACAACCAGTCCTCTGTTCTCCATTTCTATACTCTTGCCATTTTAAGAATGTCATATGAATGGAACCATACAGTATGTAATCTTTTGGGCTTGACTTTTTACACTCAGTATAAAAGATCCATCCAAGTTGCTACGTGTTATCAGTGGCTCTTTCTTTTTAATTGTTGAGTAATATTCCTTCTGAGGTGTGAATGCACAGTTTGTTTAACCTTTCACCCGTTGCAGGCCATCTGGATGGCTTCCAGTTTGGGGCTGTTATGAATAAAGCTGCTA